GAGTAAGACTTATCTTTAACTATGTACTTGAGTTTGTAAGACAGCGACTACAAGCTCCTCCATCGCCCCTCTCATGCTTGTCACATTTTCTCCAGTACCTAATGCGTTACCTAAGGGGCTTAAGCTATTAAAAACAGATGTAAATAGATAAGTGACCTGACCATATCAAAATAGTAATTTAACAGACCAACTATTTCTCCGGCTTCAAAAGATGTTTACATATATAAAAAGTCACCGATACCACTCGCTAGTGGCTGGTGGTATATTGATGTCCTTGACCACCCAGTTCTAGATTCGGGGTGGTCGAGTATCTCACGGCAGGGTCATTGCTTAAAAGCACAAGTACGATGACCGGTAGCGGCAAAACAAAAATAATTTGGTTTGTTTGGGTCCTGTTAACAGCTATGTTCATTTAAGGACATGAACGGTTTTGGTGTTTGGTGAAAAACGAACTTCATGGAGAAGAAAACATGGACCTGAGGCCAGAACCTGGCGACTGCCCCAAGTAGGCTTTGAACCGAAGACCCAGTTGTGATGCAAAACTAAAAACACTGAAACTAACGTTGACATTTTAAACGTGCAGTTAAACATGTACATTTCCGTGCCTTATGATAATTATTGAGTGGCAATAGTGCAACATGTGAGGATATTGAGAGTGAAAAAATATTCTGAACGATAAAAATAATGTCATTAGCGAAAATTATAGAATAATACATTCAAGTATGCAGGGTCCTTTCCTCCAGTTGGCAGATAGTGACTTTTATCAAAATATATTGTGTTCAGCAGCTTTGCTGCATTTTCCTGCTAAAAATAATGTACCTCAGAACTTATTGTTTACACATTTCCTCAGTTAAGTTCCCCCTCAGTACCTATTGTTTAGATTTTTCCTCAGATCCTATTGTTTAGATTTCTACTCAGTACCTATTGTTTAGATTTATACTCAGTACCTGTTGTTTATATGTATCCTCAGATCCTGTTGTTAAGATGTATCCTCAGATCCTGTTGTTAAGATGTATCCTCAGATCCTGTTGTTAAGATGTATCCTCAGATCCTGTTGTTTAGATGTATCCTCAGATCCTGTTGTTTAGATGTATCCTCAGATCCTGTTGTTTAGATGTATCCTCAGATCCTGTTGTTTAGATGAATCCTCAGATCCTGTTGTTTAGATGAATCCTCAGATCCTGTTGTTTAGATGTATCCTCAGTACCTGTTGTTTAGATGTGTCCTCAGATCATGTTGTTTAGATGTATCATCATTACCTATTGTTAAGCTGTTTCCTGAGTTCCTGTTGTTTAGATGTATCATCATTACCTATTGTTAAGCTGTATCCTGAGTTCCTGTTGTTTAGATGTATCCTCAGATCCTGTTGTTTAGATGTATCCTCAGATCCTGTTGTTTAGATGAATCCTCAGATCCTGTTGTTTAGATGTATCCTCAGATCCTGTTGTTTAGATGTATCCTCAGATCCTGTTGTTTAGATGTATCTTTAGATCCTGTTGTTTAGATGTATCCTCAGATCCTGTTGTTTAGATGTATCTTCAGATCCTGTTCTTTAGATGTATCCTCAGTACTAATTGTTTAGATGTGTCCTCAGATCATGTTGTTTAGATGTATCATCATTACCTATTGTTAAGCTGTATCCTGAGTTCCTGTTGTTTTGATGTATCATCAGTACCTATTGTTTAGATGTATCATCAGATCCTGTTGTTTAGATTATCCTCAGTTCCTGTTGTTTAGATGTATCCTCAGTACCTGTTGTTTAGATGTATCCTCAGATCATGTTGTTTAGATGTATCATCAGTACCTATTGTTTAGATGTATCCTCAGTACCTATTGTTTAGATGTATCATCAGATCCTGTTGTTTAGATGTATCATCAGTACCGATTGTTTAGAGGTATCATCAGTACCTATTGTTTAGATGTATCATCAGATCCTGTTATTTAGATTATCCTCAGTACCTATTGTTTAGAGGTATCATCAGTACCTATTGTTTAGATGTATCCTCAGTACCTATTGTTTAGATGTATCATCAGATCCTGTTGTTTAGATGTATCCTCAGATCATGTTGTTTAGGTGTATTATCAGATCCTGTTGTTTAGATGTATCATCAGATCCTGTTATTTAGATTATCCTCAGTACCTATTGTTTAGATGTATCCTCAGTTCCTATTGTTTAGATGTATACTCAGTTCCTATTGTTTAGATGTATACTCAGTTCCTATTGTTTAGATGTATACTCAGTACCTATTGTTTAGGTGTATCATCAGTACCTATTGTTTAGGTGTATCATCAGTACCTATTGTTTAGGTGTATCATCAGATCCTGTTGTTTAGATTATCCTCAGTACCTATTGTTTAGAGGTATCATCAGTACCTATTGTTTAGATGTATACTTAGTACCTATTGTTTAGATGTATCCTCAGTACCTGTTGTTTAGATGTATCCTCAGATCTCAGATCCTGTTGTTTAGATGTATCCTCAGATCATGTTGTTTAGGTCTATTATCAGATCCTGTTGTTTAGATGTATCATAAGATCCTGTTATTTAGATTATCCTCAGTACCTATTGTTTAGAGGTATCATCAGTACCTATTGTTTAGATGTATTTTCAGTTCCTATTGATTAGATGTATCATCAGTACCTATCGTTTAGATGTATCATCAGTACCTAGTGTTTAGATGTATCTTCAGATCCTGTTGTTTAGATGTATCCTCGGTACCTATTGTTTAGATGTATCATCAGATCCTGTTGTTTAGATTATCCTCAGATCCTGTTGTTTAGATGTATACTCAGTACCTATTGTTTAGATGTATCCTCAGATCCTATTGTTTAGATGTCTTCTCTAGTCCTACTATTTAAGATTCTCTTCAGTAACCTTTTTCTTTTCATAATGACTATGACCTTGTTCACTTATGTACGAAAGTTGTAATATATATATTCGTTTACATCTTTCAGTTTCAAACGTTTTAAAAAGCCATATTTAATATTCAAACAGTTTTTGAAGAGTTCCTCGGCGTTTGCCTATGTGACATACATTTCATCGTCAAGCTGTTATGTAAATTTTAAATGCAATCGTTGTCACTTGCTCTCGTTACATACTTGATTACATGTAGCTGTAGAGTCTCATAACCCCTAGCAAATACGTAGCACGCAGTTACGATACACGTGCTGGCCGGAAGGCTCTCTGTTATAGAGCTTGATGCAAATGGTAATCCAATCAGTATTTAATACGTCATCATTGGATATCTCGCCATACGCCACAGAAAAAATAACCTTTCAATTTAAGAGTCTTTTTACCGCTGCACTTTGTTCCACTTCATATTTTCTTTTATGTATACCACATGTGAGAACCGTTGATATGTACAAGAAATAGTACGGTAGCAAGTACCAAACCACAATTATACCGTTGCAATGAAACAGAAACCCGCGCCTACATGTGTAATGGAACTGGACTTGGGCGATCGTCGGCGACCAGGTAGCTAAATTGGCAGAGGGTCTGTCTAGAGTTCAGAGGGTCCTGGGTTCGAATCCCGATCTGGCCGTGCGTTTTCCCGCTCCAATGAAATATAACACAGAGAGGCAGAACCCGCTTCAACATTTTCCTCACAAGGGGACCGGAACCTGTTTCTATATGTATCTCACAACGGGCCCGGAACCCGCTCTTTCATGTACTTTACAAGGCTGGAACTTGCCCGACATGTACCACACAAGAGAAACGGAACCAACTAATACACGTACCACACAAGGGAAAAGGAACCCGATCCTTCATGTACATCACCAGGGGCCGGAATTTGTTCTCTCGTTCACCACAAAAGGCATAACCCCCGCCTACATTTCCTATCCACAAGAAGACGGAGCCCACGTCCCCATGTGCCATCGTAAGAGATCACAAGGCGAAACCCATGTCTACATCACCAAACATAAGGACAGGGGCACACCACAAGTCACAACCAATGAGTACATTTAACATTCACAAAGAGTTGTGTTGGGTGCGGAAACAATATGCTCGCATGTTCTTTCCGAGACCGAAACACATGTTTACCTATATAAAAGAGGAATGAGAGAAACTCTGTGTAACAGTTTAGATAAAATACTTTTAGCTCTAGCATTATAGTTATACATGTACTAACGGTGATGTCGATCAATACTAAATAATATTTACATTTACACTGCATAGTGCCTAGATAACTCTACTGGTCCCATTGTAACATATTTTCCAATGAACTACAACGGGGATTAGGTCAGTGTAGTGATACACTGACCTAATTACCGCCAAGTGGCGATGTTCCGCTGTGTTGTGTCTTAAAATGTTATTGTATGACAGTTAAATCGCTAAATGACAACAACATATATTAAAATGGTCACATGTTCGTATACAAATTGGTAATTGGCATATATGCATTTAAATAAAAAAAAAAAATCAATTATTAAATTGATGTGTTTACTGTGGAACTTTCTTGATTATTGTTTTTGTCGGCCTGGTTGCCCTTGACAACGACTGTGGAATGCGAAACTACCCGGCTGTTCCGAACAATTTACCGCTGACCCAGTCGGTGTGTATAAGAGTTTTAAAACAGCAATTAACAATACTCGCAACATTGCACAACTAATATTGTTGGTTTGGAATATAAATATAATTTATATCGGGCTTGCGATATATTGAATGGTGCGCGTTAGCGCACCGTGTTAAATATATCGCAAGCCCGATGTAGTTTACATCCCAATAAACGTCAAAAATATGACAACCAATCCTTGATGATTTTTATAAAGATCTTGGTATTGAAGCAACCCTAATTAATAGTATAGTTTATTTTTGAACAGTATATAGAGATGATCAATCAAGAAAGATAACATATAATATGTTTAATACATTGATTCTTTTCCTATTTCATTTTTGTAGTTCTAAATTAAATTAGCTGCAGTTCTTGTAAATGTATTAGAAACATTTGAGCTTGTGTAAATATTTTCCATGATTTCAGGGCTTGTCCCCAAGGCGTCTCCATAGCTTTAGATTTACACCATCACAGTCTGAGTATATATTCATCAGCTCCAGGTCGTCAAACCGACAGCAGTTACTGAAGTTCTTAGGGGGGAAACATGGAGTCCGGTAAGTGTCCGGTGGATTTTTTTTTATATTCTTTTAATATATCCAAATGTATCGTAATAATTCAATACAACTGCGTTGTACATAGCTGATACTATTAATCTGAAATTGGTTTTACAAAGGAACGTAAAGACTACAGATTCGTATGTGATAGCTGTTCGTCTTCTATACCAATCAAGATATCATTTGATTGGTTTGGTATAATGTTTGTTAAACAACAAAACTAAGATTCTGTTTTGCCTTGTTCCTATTGCCTGGTCTGTTTCTCTGTCTCGTACTCTGTCCGTCTATCTCTATCTCTGTCTCTTACTCTGCCCGTCTATCTCTATCTCTGTCTCGTACTCTGTCCGTCTATCTCTATCTCTGTCTCGTTCTCTGTCCATCTATCTCTATCCCTGTCCCGTACTCTGTCCGTCTATCTCTATCTCTGTCTCTTACTCTGCCCGTCTATCTCTATCTCTGTCTCGTGCTCTGTCCGTCTATCTCTATCTCTGTCTCGTTCTCTGTCCGTCTATCTCTTTCTCTGTCTCGTCCTCTGTCCATCTATCTCTATCTCTGTCTCGTACTCTGTCCCTCTATCTCTGTCTCTGTCTCGTACTCTGTCCTGCTATCTCTATCTCTGTCTCGTACTCTGTCCGGCGATCTCTGTCTCTGTCTCGTACTCTGTCCTGCTATCTCTATCTCTGTCTCGTACTCTGTCCCTCTATCTCTGTCTCTGTCTCGTACTCTGCCTGTCTATCTCTATCTCTGTCTCGTACTCTGTCCCTCTATCTCTGTCTCTGTCTCGTACTCTGTCCTGCTATCTCTATCTCTGTCTCGTCCTCTGTCCGTCTATCTCTATCTCTGTCTCCAACTCTGTCCGTCTATCTCTATCTCTGTCTCGTCCTCTGTCCGTCTATCTCTATCTCTGTCTTGTACTCTGTCCGTCTATCTCTGTCTCTGTCTTGTACTCTGTCCGTCTATCTCTGTCTCTGTCTCGTACTCTGTCCTGCTATCTCTATCTCTGTCTCGTACTCTGTCCCTCTATCTCTGTCTCTGTCTCGTACTCTGCCTGTCTATCTCTATCTCTGTCTCGTACTCTGTCCGGCGATCTCTGTCTCTGTCTCGTACTCTGTCCTGCTATCTCTATCTCTGTCTCGTACTCTGCCCGTCTATCTCTATCTATGTCTCGTACTCTGTCCGTCTATCTCTGTCTCTGTCTCGTACTCTGTCCTGCTATCTCTATCTCTGTCTCGTACTCTGCCCGTCTATCTCTATCTCTGTCTCGTACTCTGTCCATCTATCTCTATCTCAGTCTCGTACTCTGTCCGTCTATCTCTATCTATGTCTCGTTCTCTGTCCGTCTATCTCTTTCTCTGTCTCGTCCTCTGTCCATCTATCTCTATCTCTGTCTCGTACTCTGTCCATCTATCTCTATCTCTGTCTCGTACTCTGTCCGTCTCTCTCTCTCTCTCGCTCTGTTATCTTTTTGTCTTGACCTGTTTATCACAATTTTGTGAAATATTACAAATATCAAAGCACAATTTGACGAGACATAACAAAAACGTTTGGGTCAACAATCGGCCCCCACTTCAATTTCTTTTATGTTTTCGCCATATGTAGATACATCAAAATGAACAATAATTGCATATATGATTATTAAGACTGATAACCGTAACGAACCTCCTTGCATCACACCAGGTTGAGTGACGGGGTTATCCTAACAAAATGACAGATAAATGTCACAGGCGAATGTAATTTTGAAAATGAATTATGATAGTGTATAGTGTATAAAATTACTGTTATTTGATACTTAATATGTTATATTGATACACATGAAGTAAGCTTAGTGATACTATTAATTAGAAAAACGTGCACAATTTTCACAAAATTAAAACAAAATCCTAAATTGTGAACTTGCATATGTATAGTTACAATAGTAGACTATATTTTATACTTCTTTAAAAAAAATCCATGTATATATTCTTTCTATAGAATCATTTTTATGTGATATCAAAACCGGTAAAATTATTTTTTTAGCATGCAAAACATTGCGATTTCTTAATCTCACATAATCGTGAAGATTTGATTATCATTGATTATGAGGGTAAATACTGATACATTTTCTGGTTGTTTTTTTTATCATACCAAACCACTTCTTTATATAATGCATATTTTTAAGTTATGTGCAGCAGTGATAACTCATAAACATGTATTCTGCCAAAGTAATCTTTCCCCTGGAGAACTACTTAAGGTTGAGATTGTGTTAAAGACAAGGATATGCAAGATATATGAAAATAATAAAATAATCTTAATAATGAACTGATGTACACTTGATTATTATTTTATTTTGTCTTTTGCCCATCCGTTACACAAAATATGAAGGATTATCACATTATTTGATATATTTAACTCAAAACAGGTAAAGCAATGAAAGCTCTCCTTGTCTGATTCCCCATACAAAAGTTATACCCTAGCTCATTCGATTCTTATGACCTTTAACAATCTCCATAGGCGTTGACCCTACCTTTGAGAGCATTCACATTAAGTCTGTATTATTGTCATGGTACCGGTCTAGATTTCCTAACTCCATGATTATGATGACTATTCCAGGAGCTATAACAGGTGTTACGGATTGACGAGCAGAAACCTTGTGTCAACATATGTAAACCGATTTGGCTCTAGAACCTGTATGTTTTAGCATTTACATAATATCATCGAGTTAAAATTTAGGTATTCAATTTATTGGAACATGTACTTGTATGAGAGCTTTGTCCATTGTTTCACTAAGCTCTATATTAATACTGAATAATATCTTTGAATTGGAGCAAACGCCCAATACTGAACATGTTTACCGTTGTTTTAATATCTCGTTGTTAACGTTTTACGAATTCTTTGCATACCCTATTTTAAATATAGCACGATGATTATGAAAAATACCAACGATGGAAAATTCAATGTTCCTTATTCCGAAAATGATATAAGCATATAAACACACATGTTTAAAATTTCCCAGTTGTTGCTTTTTTCAAATAGAAAAAGTATGATTAAAAACAACGACAAATCTACAATCAAAAGGTCTGTTGCTATAACTGTGTAATTTACATATGATTTTCTGTAATCTACCTGTGCAATTTAATTGTACATTGACTATTTTAATGTGTAAATCTATTTTCATAATATACCTACTTTTTATTAATGTTAACTTATAAACATTAGTTATATTAAAGTTACGCATGTTATGCTACTCTTTTTGTTATTTTCAGTTTCCACTTAATATACAATTCTAAAACACGAAACTTTAAAAATGTATCTTATATAAAATATTTAGACATGACCTGAATGTTTGACCGGACTGGATTAACCTTATTATGGTACACACTACTTATAAGAAACCCAAACATATACTTGATGATTTATTGTAGCCTGGTTATATTATCAGTACAAGGAATTTAAAATCAGTTGGGCACATTGATGTACGCAAACCTAGTATAAACTCGTAACACTTTTTGTAGAAAATGACATTTACCTTTATCTGTGTATTTGAGTCTAATTACTACAGTATGTACATGTAATGTAAGTAAAGATGCATATGGTCGCATTATTCCAGCATTTACTTATATATGATATAGTCTTGTTGACCCTGACGATGAAAACAAGCAGGATATCTTAATATGGGAGATAACCGGTATACCCGTCTCACAATCCAGCAAGTTTTACTCAGAGCAAAGAAGGACGAATAATGAAAGTGAATGATAAATATTTGGAAAAGTGGTGGCAAGTTTAGCCTCTGGGAAAGAAGGGGGTTGGAAACAAGGATGACTGAATTATCTGCGGAGGAATGAAGGGGTAGTAGGTTTTCTACTCTAAAAAAGGTAACTACTAAGTATAATACTGAAAATGAAGGTGACTGGAGAATCTACCTGGGAAAAGGGAGTGACTGGATTATCTACCTGGGAAAAGGGAGTGACTGGATTATCTACCTGGGAAATGGGAGTGACTGGATTATCTACCTGGGAAAAGGAAGTGACTGGATTATCTACCTGGGAAATGGGAGTGACTGGATTATCTACCGGGGAAATGGGAGT